TCAAGGTTTAAACCACTTTGAAATCTAGAAATGGTAGTCCTCTCTTCTTCCCTTATACCCGCCCTCATCATAAGTAACTCCATTTGTTGCCTATACTCCTCCACACTAGATGAACCTTGTTTCAACCTTTGAAGCTTATCCATAAGCTCACGGTCATAGTATGGGGGAATATGCCTCCTCCTTAAGGCACTACGGAGTTCATTCCAATATTGAATTGGGGGTTCATGATGCATTCTTCTTTCTTTTTCTAAAGAGGTCCACCAATACATAGCATGCCCTTGGAAGCTAAAGGTTGCTAAAGAAACCTTTTTCTCTTCACTTATTCCATGGCAAGAAAAAAGTTGTTCAACTTTCATTTCCCAATCTAAATATGTTTCAACATTGTCTTTGCCATGAAATGAGGGAAGAGTAATGTTGGGTTCCTTATTGGAAGACTCCCTTGGTCTTGGTCTTTGTGTTCTTGGTGGCCTTTGATAGTAATCATCATTGTGATGACTACTATAATGGCTATCACTTAGGGGGTTTGTAGGGTGTTGACTACCCTCACTTTCACTTCTAGGGATGCTTACCCTTGGGTTGGATCCCCCAACTCCCCCTCCCATGACTAGTTTTGCTAACATCTCTTTTATTTCCTTATTGTTTTTCTCATTTTCTCTCTCTTTTCTCTTATATTCTTCCTCTCTTTTTGCATTTTCTTCTTCTTTTCTTTTTATATACTCCCTAAGTTCTCTAAGTTCATCCCTAAGACTATGTCTACTACTATGAGTATTTTGACCCCTTACACTTGAATGATCACTCATCTTTGATCAAGAAAGGTTTTCACAAAGAGGTTCTTGAAAATATTTTCACAAAGAGTGAGTGATAAAAGGTTTTCACAAAAGCTTTTGAGTGCAAGAGTAGTGATAGGAGGCCTAAGTGCACAAAGTGAACTATCAAGGGAGGTGGACTACAAAGAGTCTCTTAAAAACCAAGCCTTTTCAAGTAGAAATCACTAAGCCCCTTTTCACTTTTCTCACAAAAACAATTTTAGCACAAGAGTGAGTGTGTGTTCGGACCCTTAGTAGGCAACTTTGGAAGCCTCTAAATGAACATACAACAATCTAAGGAATTATGCTAACAACTAAGAGAATTAAAGGAAAGCAATAAAGCATATACTAGTCGGAAGTCCTAGGGTGGAAGCTTGAAGTGACCTTGGGGGTTTTCAAGACACTTCCACAAGTACTAAACGAAACTACTCCTAAAACTAATTAATTTAAGAGGCCAATTACAACCCAATTGAATGAATAAGGACCAAGATACAAGTGGTCCACTCAAAAACAACACAAATAGGCGCAAAAACAAGAGTAAAGAAATAAGCAAGAAAATTCTTCAAACCAATTTGGTGCTCCCTTCACAATGAACAAACTTGGTTAGCTTCCTTCCAATGTGTTTGGCACTCTATGTTTGTAAGGAATCCCTCCCAAAGCTCTTTGAAATTCATGGCCAACTCCTCCAACTCAATCTTCCCCAAAATTTCTTGGAAATGTGAAAGTAGGCTACATCTACACCGAGTGAAACAAACCACCAAGAGCAAGAAAGGAGGCCAAAGAAATAAAAACTAAAAATGCTCAATTAGGAAGGCTAAACTCAAGGGGAATATTGATGAGACAAAACACAAGGAGTTCCAAGAAAGACAAGCAAAAAATTAAGACACATTTAAGAAGGCAAGCACTCAAAGGGAAATCTTAGAAGGGTTCTAGAATAGAATTATGTGTTTAGTGTTCCTTGTCCTTAAAATTAATGTGAGGTCTTTTCCTTAATGTCCAGCCACGGTTTTGGTCATAAAATGAGTCCAAATATGGGTCCAAAAATGGTCCAAGTCCAACTCCAAGTGTGCAAGGGTATAATGGTAATTGTCCACAAGTCTAGCAACAATTTCCTTTGAATTTTTTTTTCTCTTATATTTTTTCATCTAGCTTTTGGTGGAGCCCCTTGGTCAGTTTTTTTTTTTTTTGAATTTTAACCTTGTTATGTTGCTTGGTTTTTACACTTGTGGGTGAATTAAAAGTAGCACAAAAAAGTAGGAGACAAAAAAGACAAGTGGCATGCAAAAAAACAACTTTTGTAAGGTGGAATGTGTCTTGTACTATGACTAATTTGGTGCAGATTTTTCAGCAAGCACACACACATTCTTGGCAGATTTTTCAGCACAAAAACACTACTTGGTTGTCATACAAAGGATAAGGGATGATCATGTAATGATGAGCATGTAGGAGTGGCTAACCATGCATGTATAGGAGACAAAGCCACATGGAATTCAACAAACTTTTGGAACATGTCATTAACTAAATAACATGCATGAATGACCTCTAAGGAACATGCAAAATTTTGGCAAGCCACCTAGAAGGAAAAACATGCATCATTCATTTCCATGTTACATACATCAAGTGAAGGTATTATGCACATACTTTGTATTTGGGTGAAAAGGTGAGACGAAACACAAACTTTAGACAAAACTTGAACAAATAAGGATTAAAAGGCATTCATAAAGTGTTCATCATGTTCTTGAAAGAAAATTTCCAGCAAAGGTGAAAATGAAGAAAAGCACACAAGAATCTATTTTAAAGGACACCTAGAGCACAACAAGGAAGGCTCATGAACCAACAATGAACCACTCAACAAGAAAACAACATTTTAAGCAATATTTGAGAGGATAACATCAAGACATATGAGAAGACATAGACAGGAAAAAAAACATTTAGAAGACACAAAAGAGAAGAGACAAGTTATCCTTAAAGAGAACCATGGCTCTTGATACCACATGATGGAACCAACTTCTCCATGAGTGCTAATGGTTGATTCCTTCTCTTATACAAGGTTGAGATGACATGAAGGGTGATCTCTTCAAGGGTATGGAAGTGGTGGCGATGGTGTTTAGGTAGGTGAAGGTTGACGCACAAAATGGAGGGGAGGAGGAGAAGGTGTTTGGTAGTGTAGCTCCTTTAGGCTAGCTCACTTCACTTAGGATGATGAAGGCCAACCAAGGAAGACCCAAGCTCACTCAAGGAAGAGAGGAGAGGATAGGGGGCCATGGAGTTCCTAGGGGACTAAGGAAGGAATAAAGAGGCACGAGGTTCACTCAATATCATTAAGTTCCAGAGTGGCTACAAGGTGGGTGACCTAGAATACTTATAGGGAGAGAAAGGCATCTAGGGTTTCTTGGGAGCATTTGGACGAAATTTTGGAGTCCAAATGCACCATGAATGAGCCCTAAATGCAGCCTAAATGAAATGGCTCTCATTCCTTCTAAAAGACTAAAGTGCGCTTAGGCCTAGAAAAAGAAAGAAATGGACTTTCACCTCATAAATTAAGGTTTAAGTCCTAAAATAAATCCTAAGACTAATTTTGCCCCATAATACAAAGGCTAAATATAAATACAAAATAAAATCCTAATATTTAATGCACCCCAAAATACAAGGGCAAAATAGGAAAAGAAAACAACAAACTAAGGAGAGGACTCAAAATCCACACATATGATGATCATGACTTTTGGTGTGGTGTGTTCTTCATCTTCCTCAACTCTCCTAGCCATGGACCTTGTGATAGGCCCTATATGATGCTTCAAGGATGGTCCTCCATCATTGGTTCTCTCAAAACTTCTTCACTTTCAAGGAGTAACCGAGCACTCCTTGTTTCTTCTTCACCATTGAAGCTTCTTCAAAGGTGTTTTCGCCATTATTGAAGCCAACCTCAAGAGAAGAAAGGATTGAGATGGAGTTTAGAAGAAGCCGCCAATCATTTCTCCTAACCTATTCCATCACAAAGAATGTGCAAAACACCCATAATGAAATGTCTCATCTATAGTAGTGGATGAAGATTGAGCGATTCATTTGTTGGAGTTAACCCTAGTGGCCTATATCCTTTATTTATGTCATGACTTTGATAGAAAAATTTCAATTATTATGTTAAATGTTGTTAGTATTTAATATAGCATAATAACCTCCTTATAATAGTTGCTTGTTCAAAGATACATTAAGTATTACTTGATTGTGAGATTCTTTGAACAAAAAACATTATTTTTAAAGTATTTGTAGTCAAGTATTACTGTTAACTAGGACAACAATGATACATTGAGGCTACTTTATAAGTTGATTGATAACCACTTCTCACAAGTCATGGATATGAGAATATCAATTCAAACATACATGTACAAATATAGGAAGATTCCTACATGTAGAAGTTGTAGACTTTGATACCAAATGTTATCCATAGTAGAGTAATTATAAAGGTAGTTAATTAGGTTTACAATGACTCGTGTGGAGAAATGTGAGTGATGTATAAAGGATTCACCATTGTGCATAATAGAAATGTTGCCTTGGGCTTCTTAATAGCATGAGACATGAAATATTCTTGGTCATGTGGGGATGGGCCAATATGAGATATTGGACCAATTTGTGTTTAAACGTCTACTTATGTAACTCATACTACATAATTGATACATCTTTTAGTGAATTACATTGAACTCATTTGACATTTATAAGTGTCTTAAATTGATGAATTGGTTGAGATTTATTTTAGTGGATTATTTCGGTTTTAATTCTAAATTCTAGTTAATTTTTGTAATTTCTATCCACTTTGACATATTGTCTCGTGCATGCCATATCTTGAGCTCCTAAACTCGAAATAGGACATTCTTGGTAACCCTTAGAAGCTAAGATACAACTCTACAAATTCTTTGTTGAGAGTTTTATCCAGTTTGAACGTCTTGACATCCAAAATTCCCCACAATGTTATGCATATGCACTTTGTATTAAGTTTTCTTCAGGAAATTATTGCAGAAGTAGCTTAGCCTTGTTATTAGGTAATTAGTGGGTTGGGACTTGTATTAAATCTGATTAGGCCCACTAATTTAATCTATTAATAAGTTCTAAAAGACTTGCTTTGTATATTTTCTCAAATTTTTCCGATTTATAATTTTTTCCTCTACAAATTTCTCTAACTTCTCTCTCTCTCTCTCTTACAAATTTCTCTCACACATTTCTCGGTTGATTTTGCTGTAGCATCTTGATGAAGATGCATGGTTAATTTCCTTATCAATTTGAGGTTTCATAAATTATAGTTAAATTCGAGTTTCAAATTTTTTTTATGAACTCTTCATCTTATTATTTTCTTTTCTAGATCTAATTTCATGATCTGTGATTATGAATTGAGTTTTGGGATCTAGATTTGAGTTACATTAAGATTGATTAATCCAATATAAACAAGGATTAAACAATTGATTAATTGCCTAAATCAACATGTTCGTTGTCCTTAAATTTCTAGAAATTAGGATATGCAATTGCTAATTTCTTTTTTGTGAAATTATTAGATCTAGATTTAGATCTACATTCAATTTAGATACATGTTGATGATAAGATGTTTGGATTCTTGTTTTATGTTTGAATTGTTAGAACTTTACTATAAGAATTGAAATTTTGAATTAATTCATTTTTGGATTAGATTTCTCTTAATTTTCAATTAATTCTCTTTTGCACTTTTAATTTTGTAATTGTTGTTTCACTTTCATAAATTTCCATTCTAACAATATGTGATAAATTTAGATTAAATTGACTTGTGTTTTCAAGAAGAATGACCTGGTTATTCTCTATATTACAAATCTAAGGGGAAAATCTAGTAATTTTTGTATAGTGATTTGACAATGCTATCAAAATGGCACCATTGTCAGGAGTCATTGTGTCTTGATTTTATCATGCCTACTAACTGTTCATTAAATTGTTTTTGCATATACTAACACATTTTATCCATTTGCTTTGAGTTTTGTTGTGGTTGTGTAACACTTGCGCACAAACACTTTTGAAATTTTTCGCTTTTGACTGAAACTTTTTATCCAAAGGTAAGGTGTAAAATTGTCCAATTTCATTAGGTAGACAAGTTTTCTTTTTTACTATTTTTGATATTTTTAAAATCATCAAAAAATTACAGAAAAGAGGAAATTTGTTATGAAATGAGGTTCTAGTAGTCTTGTATTTTTAAAAATTTATTTGATAGTGTTTTGCATCTTATAGGTTTCCTTAGTTAGATATTAACTTTATAGTTGACTTTTTACTTTTATATTGACTTTTATTATTTTTCTTTGTTTAACATTGTTAGTTTTGTTTCTATTTTTAACTGTGATTCTAGACTTATTTCTATTGTTAGATATTTTTGAATTTTCATATTTTGATTGAGTTCACCTCCTTAGTCCAACAATTAGTCATTGGTGTAACATTATTAGAACTTATTATGATCCTCTACAACAATAATATTTTGAACCATACTTTGGTTAACAATATTTACCACTATAGCAACATTATGATCCTCCACAACAACATTATTACGATCCATACTATGAAAGGTATACTTCTGACTGGATAAATCATCACTAGTGTGCTGTGGAGGATTATGTGTAGCCACCACCTATGCAGAGTAGTGGAGTTACATCTGAGGATATGATAAACCAAATGTATACAAACAACTAGTAATTTATGATGGAAAAGATGGAACTATTTGAGCAAGACTTTAATGTTGCAACTCAACATTTGCAAACACATATTAAACAATTGGCTACTAGTATCAACCAATTACAATTAGTATGTTCATCTGTGTGTACCATGAGGAGTGACATTAATGATCTTGATTGCATTGTTATTGATTCATTTGGTATTGATATATCTGTGTGTGAGATTGTTGACCTCGTATCTGAATATGAATTTGTATAGTTGAGCTTTCATTATTAACTTTGATTGTACTTGTGATGATTCTATTATGTGTGCTATATGTATAGAAATTAGTATTGTTATTGTAGGTACAACAAATGTCGTAATATTATATGCTCCTCCAACAAATATAGCTATAATGGTGGATGTTTAATCAACAAATAGCCTCCATTACTATCCATTGTGCAGCTTCTATCCTTAGAGTTTAAACTTGAATCTTTATTTGATACATGTTTAGAGAATTTGCTTAAGGTGGTGCTAGATAGGTGATAGTGCATTTAGGATGCATATTTTAATGCATTAATTTGAGATGATTTGGCATTTAATAAACACCCTAGTTTATATGAAATAAAAAGTTATTTAAGTCTATTTTATTTATTAAAAATATTATTTTGGTTTTATATTTTTAATTCTATTGTTTTAATTTTGTTTAGAAACATTATTTTTTGTTCATTTGAAATACTTTTGACTATGATTATTAATTCTTTTATATATATATATATATATATATATATATAGGGGAATGCTACTAATATACTCCTACCTATTTTTTAGTGGGAGAATGTTAGCAACCTACACCCAAATTTTAGGACAAAAAAATTACTCATTTCTTTTTATTCGATTAATTTGTATAAAGGGTATTATATTAATTTAATTTAATTTTAAATAAAAATAAAATATTTTCTCTCTTTTATTAACTTTATTCTCTAAGTCATTTCTCTCTCCTATTAAATTTCTTCTCCAACTCATTTCTCTTTCTTATTAAATTCTTTCTTTTACTTACTTATCTCTTTCCTATTAAATTCTTTCTTTAACTCATTTTTCTCTCATCTTTCATGATGTCTCTTCCCTCTCTCTCTGAACAAATAAAATTAATTAATAGAAAAAATAAATGAATTGAAGAATGAAATTAATAAGAGAGAGAAAATATTTTATGTTAATTTAAAATTAAATTAAATTACTATAATATCCTTTGTACGAATTAACCAAATCAAAAAAATGAGTGATTTTTTTGTCCTAAAATTTTGGTGTAGGTTGCTAACATACTCCCACTAAAAAATAGGTGGGAGTATATTAACATTCCCCATATATATATATATATATTCTTTATTATATTTTCAATTTCTCTTAATTATTATTTTATATTTATCATTTTTTTAAATATGTATATGGCGGATTTTTGACTTTCAACCATCCGAGATTAATAACCTTGAATTGTACAGGAATGGAATTTTTTCCCATCCCCACTTATTACTTATGACTCCGTGATCCGTTTCAAGAGGATGGTAGAAATAGAATCCTCCTTTCTTGAAAAACATAATGATTTACAAAGAATTTAACCTTCTTCCATCCATTAGGAGGTAATTCTTCTAAGCATTAATCTAGTCTTTGTAGTGTTGCTTTACCATCTTATGTCCCATCTTTAATTAATGTGCTGACCATGTGGAATGTCAAACCCCCTTAAGTTAAGGGGTCATGGGAATATGATTACTATTGCTGAGGGCTTAATGACATAAAAACCATTTGAGAAGAGCAACACATTCATTCCGAAGTTGATTTGATACTTGAAAAGAAAAGAAAAGAATCTTATATGCTCACGTGACATGAGTTGCTCTTGACCAGTTTAACAATCTGGTATCCGTACCTGTAGTGTGTACTTAGTATCACCACATGAGGTTGCAGCCTTATTAAGAGCCCCCACCCTTCAGGGATAGTGTTGTACCAATTGCTTCATTCGAGAATTCAAACACTTTACTTTGGGGGGGAAATCAGAAGGGAGTTTAACAAAGTATAACACACTTTTATGTCATTTATCCACATTATAAATTGATGACTGCTCAGATTCATAAATATCAAATCATATTAAAATAAATAATAAAAAAAATCTGATTAGACAAAAACAGCACAAATAACTTAAAATTGACAAACTAATTGAATTGTGTTTGTTAATGAGAAGACGTTCATGATGGAAAGTTGGAAACAGCCACAATATCTCCACATGTAAGAAACACATTACACATTGCTAATAATTACTCAAGGGAGAAGGGGAACCAAAAATTAATAGAAAAATAGAATTTTAGTTATCTTCTTGGACAGGTGGCTCCAGCATCCTTACTGTGTGGGGAAGCATAAACTCAGCAAATATAGGATAATGGGAGGATGGATAACACCCATCAATGTTATCATTAACCACTTCACATGAAGCTGGAATCAGAGATCTACCTCTGAAAAGGACCCAATCAATGTGAAGATCCTGTGTTTGGCGATCCCAACAGAGGCAAAGGGCTCTAAAAATTAACTCTAAGATTTCAAGAGTTCCTTGTTTGTTACCTAACCACATCAGATAACACTGAATAATGACACAATAGACCAGTACTAGTAGTATAATAATTCTCAATCAAAGTGTAAAAGAAGCATAATAGTACCCTTGAATCCATGATAAGTGCGGATTAGGGATACATTCTTCCTCACATGGGCACAAGGCCATGCATCCCACATGTCCCCTACTACACCATGCTCTCTGCAATCAACAAAAGTAAACTACTATCAACTCCATTAAATGCATAGATAGATAGTTACACGAAGCACTACTTATCCATACATCTCAAATGAATCACCTCATAGCATAAAGCAATACTTATCCTAGAAATATGAACTTTGAGTTCCTAGTAAGTAACATGAAATAAAGCGTAAATCACTATTCAAGCTCTTGAAAGTGCATCTCGCTGACACTTTGGTTCTTCAAAGTATTAAAATTCAAGAAAAAAATTGAAAAAAAAACATGTGACTAAAATTATAATATCATGGTAAATGATAATAAATAGTTACTTTTATGGACCTATATGAAATAACTAAAATTTCAAAGACTTATTTAGAATTTTGTTACTTTTAGGGATTAAAGTGCTAGCGACATGTCAAGGACCCAATGTGTTTTAACCCTAATATACACTAACATTCAAGTGAAACTTAAGTAATAAGGAAAGACCTCGATCTTCCAAGAAGAAAGCGTCCAGTAGTTGATTCCTTTTGTGTGTTGAATCCTCCACAGTACACCACTGGCAGCCTAGGGGGTAAGGATGCAATGTGCTGCCATGTGAGTAAAGCACTTTTTCTGCGGGCTCGAGAGCTGAACTTATCCATGTTTGTATTAACTATCTGAAATGAAAACCCTGGGGGTTCAACCCCTTTAAGTTGAAATGTGTGGACATCACGTCAAAGAACCAAATGATCCCAAAGAATTGCCCAACTAAGTATTTTAAAAATAAATATTGAATGCATATGAAGTCTGCATTAGCTTTCTAAGTCTGTTTGGAAAACCTCCGGAAGTATTTCTAAGAGGAAAAAAAGAACAGAAATAAACTTTTCTATAGGTTAAACTTATGATACACACGTTAAAAATAAATTTTTGAAAAAACAATATGAGAGAGTTTTTACAAATTTACTTATACATAAGTTAATTTTAGTTTTTAAGAAAACTTATTTGACTTTTTCGTTCTATTTTTCTTCTTAGGAGTACTTCAGAAGAAGTTTATCTAAGTATGTCTTGAATCACAAACAAGGATATAGCCCATGTTGCAATGCATGGAAATTCAGCACCCCATGACATGCTTCCGGGTACAGATGGAGACTCAGACAACCAAAATGTTCCTCCTTCAACAAGCTCCACCTTCATTTAAGAAATGAATAACACCTAGCAATTAACTTTTTTCTGCAACATGTTAAATTCAAAAGAATTATACTATTAGTACTCAAACTATCTAATACCTTTTCTTTATTATAGAAGATGGTGCAATGCTCATCAGTAGTGTCTTGGGGCCCTTTTCGTGATATGCCAAACTGATCATAACCTGATTATTTTTATTAAAGAAGAAGAAGCACAACATTCAGATGCCAGTTATTAGAGTAGCTTGAAATCCAACATGGAACATAAATGTCGTATTTATATACAAAAGAAAGAATTAAGTTAACTAGGAAATAATAAAAATGCCAGAAATACACAGAATTAATTCCAGAAACATGAAATAGACAGCCATGACTATTGATATTCATCTAGGTACTCAAGATTGTTATTTGAACAAGCTAGCACTTCAACATAAGTAACATCCTGATAAAGCTCACTAACACTCATGAGAGGACCCATTTATCAATAGCATGTATAGTTTCTCTACCGTACATTGACATTTTTTAATGAAACTATACAGTATACACCCATTTTAACATAATCCAATTGTATATGATGCGGGCATTTACATATGCACATCCTAATGGCAGCATTATTGAATATTTTCTTCATTGCTAGCAACATATATTCCTTATTGCCACATACATTTGAGACAGAAAATGCTTGTGAAAAAGCAAGCAAATACCTGACAAGCCCTGCTGGAGAAAATCCAATTGCGTTTTCACTCCTGAATCCGGATTCAAGTAAAAGCAGAGAAAGAAATCAATAATAAACTAAAATCAGATTAATAAGATTAGCAAAGGCAAAAACTGATAACATGTCATCACTGCAAAAGTAAAACATAATTTAAAATATAAGGGGAAAAAAAGAACACAGATCAAGTATTTGTATGGATAAAAGAAACGAGCAAGCTAAAACATTGTTACACAAATACGATAATCTCCAAATTAAAGCATTAACTGAATATTGAAAACCAGGTTCATCCAGAAGGATCAAGAAACCAAAACAAAATTCAAAGAAAACCCCACAAAGCAACCTTAACCCATCTAACAATCAAGATCGTGGGAGAGGAGCGTGTAGAGAAAAACTATGATCATGTTCCAACCTTGTTGGGTACAGAGGATGATGGGTGAGTAACTGGTGATAACGCTTAAACACAAGTCCCTTCTTTTGTCCCATGAATTACAACTCTCTTGACCCTGATCATCATCGTGGAGATTGAAGGTCATCACACTCAAAGAAACACTCATTTTCTTTCAAGCAAAAGAAAAACGAATATTTTGATGTCTCTCTCTCTTTCTCTGCCTGTCTACTCTTCAAAACAGTTCGTGTTAGTCGATTTGAGCACAACTCTGAATGATTAAGAAAAGGAGTAAAGAACAAAACTTGAACAGGCTGTGACTTGTGAATTATGATGCTTTTGTATTTTACTATTATGTCAGCTCAGGGCCTTGAGAAACATGGACACAATACGGTCTATGCTGTGCGAAAGAATTTGGAACTTGTTACCTTACACCACAGGAGGAAAAAAAAATATAAAATAATTATAAGATGACTCACCATAATTTATAGTGTCTATTATTGTTGCTGTTTTTCTATTTTAATATGGCATTGTCGTATCAATCACTAACATAAAAAGTTTAAAGAGCCTAATGCAATCATTATACACTATAGTGTAAAAAAACACTTGTGTGTGTCGGTGTATTTTTTTTTAAAAAAATAATTGAAATAAGATACTATGACAATTAGAGAGGGCAAACAGTTTAAATAGTTATTAAAGAGTGAGAAGTTTAAAAAATGGGTTTATAGATAATTAGAGAAACAAGATAATTAAAATTAAATTTAAATCTGTTTTTAGTTATATAAAATGAGTGAGATTTGATTTTGGTTCTTATATATATATATATATATTTTGTTTTTTGTCTTTATAAAATTTGAAAATATTGTTTTTGGTTTTTATAAAATATTTGTTGTCTTTATAAAATGGTAAATTTTGATTTTGGACCCTGTAAATTTTTTATTTATTTATTTTTTTTAAATCTAAAATTACTATTTTTAATCCATGATGATAATTTTAAGATATATAAATAATATTTATTTTAAAAACTTATGAAACATTTTAGAAATATTACACACTAATATGGTATCACTAATAATTTTGAATAACTCTTGAGATGGTCATTTAATCTTTTAATGAACAAATAAGTAGTTAAAAAATTACATAAAAATGGGGGTTAAAAATAATAGTTATAACTTTTAGAGAGATAATAAACAGAAAATTTTTACAAGGACCAAAATCAAAATTTACTTATTTTGTGTAAATTAAAAATATATTTAAGCCTAAAAACTAAATAAAAAAAGGGTATTTTGAAAATAAAAAGGTGAAACGATCAACATAATATATACATCAAAAAAGTATCTCATTTTTATTAATAATATAGGTAATCATTGACATGTCATATTAACAACTGATATAACATATTCATCATTAACGTGAATTGTTGATATAACATATAAATGATAGTGATATAATGTGTCACGTCAATAATTGACATGACATATTGATAGTCAACATTTTAAGTTAACTGTCAATGATAAATTAATGATTTTACACGATAAATTTTTGTTTTAATTTTTTTTATAATAGATAGAGACTAAACGTTTAAATTAAAATCACAAAAAAAGAAGAAGAAAGAAACTGCTAAAATCAATTGAGAGTGGTATTTGAGAACAATGAGGCAAAATTGAAAAAGATTTATGAGTTGTGTCATAGTTAGACCATGTTTTGCAAAACCATCTACAACTTGATTTGCTTACTTATAAATATGGGAGCATGGAATCCCTTGTAGCTAATCCCCCATTCTTTTAATCATACTGACTAGTCTATAGAGAGGGTAACCTCGGTGACATCCTTCGTTGTGGAAACTAACTACTAACATACAGTCGGATTCTACTAGAAAACTTCCTTGAATACTTTTGTCACTAAAGAGCTTGAGCATGTGGTAGAAACCTTATAATTTTTCCTGTACCACTGAACACGAGCGAAGCTTGCATCCTAATAACTCCTCCATAAGCGACACCATCCCCAGCCATGGCTCTGTCCATATTCAATTTCTAGTGCCCTTTAGGGGGTATAGACCATCTAATGAGAGCACTACCTCGACCATATGAAGTAGGGAGAATAATAGATCTTGTACGAAAGCTAGAATTGGAAATTTTTGTTGCACGTGCCTCTATTTCCTTTGTTTGCTAGGTAAGATTTCTTCGAGTGTAATCAAAGACTAACCTATTCATCATGTGTCAAATGGAATCAGATGTAACTATAAAATAAATTCTCTAATTGTTCAAGCACCTTGCCCCATGTTGGTTTTCGAGTATCCATACCTAAATCGAGTAAATAAAGAAGTTCTTAGGGATGTGTCCCCCTGTGATATTTACCAAACGTCTTTAGCCCCTATACAGTCACGTAAAGCACATAGAAAATATGTTCATATCACTACAAGAAAAATGACTTATGCCTACACACAAAAAATGTCACTAAAAATCTAAATTCCATAAGTAAAGGTATCATGGACTTTGACCTACAGACATTGAAATTGTCAATTTTGAGGGGGCATATAGCTATAACTAATAGCCTATCACTATAAGTTTTACCTACAGACATAATTTTACCTACAATTACATTTGACTGTCACTATAAGAGCTACCTACAATTTGTAATATGCGTGGGTAAAAGTCATTGACTTATATTTACACTCCCTACTATAGGTAAACACCATTAAGTTGTACTTACATGTTTTGACTCTAGGTAAAAGTCATTAACTTATTCTTACATGCTCCGACTATAGGTAAAAGTATTTTTTATTTTATTTATTATTATTATTGTGCTTATATATATATATATATATATATAATATCTCTTATAGAGAATATGTGTACTCTATATGAAGTGTAGTTCAAATTTTATTATTATCTTGTATCTATTTAATTTAATATTTTGTTCTTGCTAAATTTCATTAAATAATAAAAACTATATATACAAAACATAAAAAAAAAGAGGAAAAGATAAGTAGATGACTTATTCACATACTAGTCTAATATGGAGATTCTATATTAGTGTCAACAACCAGTAATTGTTATCATGTTATTCTAAACATCATGTATGTATTATATTTCAAGTATCATTGTTCATAGAGCTAGACATATAAGTATCCAAACTATGTTAAAAAAATGACAAATTCATGATGCTAAAGTTTCTAATTAGAAATAAAAAAGGAAAACATATTGCATTGATAAATGTCATCCTGTAAGTATTTCCATCTATGTTGATCCACTGCATGTAATCCTTCACCAATCCTAAAAAAATATGAAAAATGCCACTTGTGCAGCTTGTGGCCCACCAGGCAATCCTCGTTCATTTATGGCATCAACCATGTCAACAAAAGGAAGGACCAAGAGTGTACCAGGACCTCCATACTCCGAGTGCAAGAAAGTGCTAAAAATCTGTTCAATTCAACATATAATCACAATTCACAGCAGGTTAAATATGGACAATAATATTTCATCAGCCAACACAACTCAAAATATAGCAATGGCGTACCAAGAAAATCCACACAGAATAAACTACCTTGATGAATCAAATATTGAACAGATTCATCATTTTATGCCAACAACAGGTTCTGGCTGCATCTAGTTAGCATTTGAGACGTTGTGCAAGACAAATATAAGTTGACAAACATTCAAGCAATATGAAAGACATTCTAAACGAACCTTTCAAATCTAATAACTAAAATATGGAAATATTGATATCATAGACAGATAAAACCCCATTTTCTTCCTTATTCTCTTTTCCTGGTTGTTGAAAAGTCCTTATATACTTAACTTCCTAGTTTGGTACACTTACACAGGAATTTAACTCAGTTTGGGAAATTTCATATTCTAATAATGACAACGGATGAAATAAGTGCAACCTGCAAAGTTTTGCAAACCAAACTACAGCACAACCAACCCTGTTCTATTTTCCATCTCATAATATTAGATATAAAGCCTCGAGAGCTCTTCTATTGTAAGACAACAACTATCACAAGTTTCTGCAACAGACAAAAAAAATCTCTTCCAAACATAGTTATCAATATCAGATAATAGCACATAGCGGGCAACCTAAAAAATGATAGAATAGTATATAGCACATAGCAAGATGGTCACTATTTTTTATATACAGATTGAATAATTTACACCATATACGGATAAATGCTAAAAAAACTTTTAAAAAATACTTAAAATCATGACATTCATATTTAACAATGAAAGCTCATGGTCATGGGTTTTAAGAAAAACATACAAAAAAATAACAACAGTCTAAGAAACAAACAAAGACACATACATATTATTCATCCTTTGACTAGTCCTAAACAAACACTGCAATGCAGGTAATACCACCTGCACCACTTGTTTTTAGATGAGAGACATAGTAGAAGGCTTATATATATATATATATATATATGCATATGACATATAAGTATTATATTAACTATAACTTAATAAGATATACCCGCCCTTTCTCAAAACACCAATAATGTAGCAAATCACGATATTGAGAAGGATCAACCCTTGAATCAGGAATATGAGAAAACATTTCCTCCTCAGTTTGACTCTCATCATATCCTTTTGATTTCAAATCATACTTAAATTGCCTCCACTTCATACTCATGTTATCCTTTAGTACTTCCTTTGCTTGTTCAGTCAATTCAGGAACAAATTGAAATTTACTCTACGTATCATTAACAAAAAAACATGTTAGACTTATTACATACATAACTTTTACAAAAAATAAAAGGAAATAGAAGTTATAAATTTTATACTAGACCTGAATCAATTCAAGCATATTAACAATATAGTCCTCAGGCATGTCCTTCCAGCTAAGATAATTGATAGGAGCACATTGATGTCTCCTTACCAAGCTCCCTATTGCATTTAATAAAGTTTTCCCTTCCCAACCCATGGGATTACCCAAAGGATCTACTTCAACAAGTATGAATTCTCCATCTGGCATGTCCCACACATCTAACATATGTGTATAACCTCTAGTCTTCTTTTCACCTAAATTAACACAAATATATGGCATATTATCCAATATATGTCAAGAAAAATGTATATACTTGCATTGTTAAAAAGGCTAAAAGTTATACTTACCTTTACTTGAACTTTCACTTGAACTGTCAAAAGATGTATAAGTCTCAATGTCATTTTCTTCTTGTATTTGTTGTTCTAAATACAATCAATGATTAAAACTTAACACCGTTAGACTCTATCATAAACAATTTATATAAAATAAAATAATTTAAGCTGATAAAATTTTTATACCTCCAAATTGTGTATTTTCTTCAATAATAGGGTGATTATTTCGTGTAGTATTCAACTTTCTACGCTTCCCCATAGTACTTGTTACAAATCAAAATGCCTATGACAAGAAAATGCGAGATGACAACACTGTTAATTAGTTAAAATAAAAGTAGATATACTCTATAAATTGTTTAATACAAGTAAGTTTGGAATTTAAAACGACTAAAAAATTTAAAAGAAGTTTTCTTCACTTTCATCTTCTACATTATTGTCATCTCTATATTTTGGCAAACGTTCTCCATGGCTCTTGTAAATTCAATGATATCATCATCACCATCAACTTCTGGTCTAATCAAATCATTATCATTTATCTCTTGTATGACTTGTTCATTCCCTTGATTTGTTACATTGAACTCTTAACCACCCAAATCGTATACATCTCTAATTTTAGCATGCACAGCAACAAGCCAACCATCTTCTCTTTTTTTTCTCCACATAGAATACTTTCTTAACTTGAGATGCAAAAACAAATGGATCATCACAAACATCATTCCCTATATGTTGCAAATAATTGAAATTTACTAATGTCATGCCAAAATTATCAATTTTGCAGCCCCTATTTATATCAACCCAATTGAAAAGTACAACCTTATATCTTCCTGAATAATCCAATTGAATTATATTGGTTAGCGCACCATAATAGTTGATTTCGCCTTCTATAGGGTGTTTATCTCTTGAACTAGCATAACTTTTTGTCTTAACAGTAACAACAATGCTACTATTTTGAGTCTTTAAGCATCTTTCACGCTTCTTTATATGGAATCTAACTCCATTAACAATATATCCACTATATCTTCTCACTATTTCTAGTGGGCCACATGCTAACCAATTGATATCATTTGTCACTAGAATGCTACCTTGCTTTTCCAATCGTGCAACCTACCACAATTTTGTTTCAAATGGTCACAAATTTAAAACTAATGAAAAATTTAACTCTATTTCCAACTATGTAACCTATTACACTTACTCGTTCACGGAACCAATCAGGAAATGTTTGACTATGAATTTTGTCAACTTCATATGGAGATAGTCGATGATTTCGTCTCTTGATAAGACTAGTGTGTTCTCTATGTAAAAAGAATTAGAAAGAGAATGCATCATAATTAGTAGAAAGGTATTATATCAAGATTCAATAACTAAATATAAACATGAAAGAAATTGTATTACCTCTGAAAAAGGTCAATATTATTGCTATTAAAAAGCACATATCTATGCGCTTGTAGCAATGTTATTTTATCAAGAGAAATTCTAGAAGTTTTTTTTTTCTTTTCTTCATGTTGAACCCAACTTGTCTCTTTCTTCCCAATGGTCTACCTCTAGGATTTAAAACACTTGGATTTCCCACAAAATAAGAATCATCATTTCGAATAGATCGATTAAAATAAGTTTCCACTCCGGATAAATATCTTGAACAAAATATCAAGCATTCATGAGCTAAATATCCCTCTGCAATAAATCCTTCTGGATGTGCTCGATTATGAACAAATGACTTTAAAGTGAAAAGGAACCTAAAAAATATACAAAATAAGATAATTTTATTTTGCTTTATAACTCTAGCATGTTATTAACTAATTAAATAATAATAATACCTTTCAATAGGATACATCCATCGATAATGTAGAGGACCTGCAACTCTTGCCTCATATGCCAAATGGATTGTAAAATGTACCATGATAGTGAAAAAAAGATGGTGGAAAAATCATTTCTAATTGACATAATGTTTGAGCCATTTGATGCTCCAAGTTCTCTAAATTATGCTCATTGAGCACCTTGCCACACAACTCTTTGAAAAAATGACAAAGATCACATATAGCTAAATTCACTTTGTCAGGCAAACAACCTTTCATAGCTATAGGAAGAAACACTTGCATTAAAAGATGACAATCATAACTTTTGAGACCAAATATTCATCAGGAGCTTTTATTGCTTTTAGCACTTCCAAAAATTCTTCTTTCTCCTTTGAAGTCATCTGGTAACAAGCTCTAGGAAAATATTTCTTACCATTACTTGGATGTATCTTTGGATGTAGTTGACTTCTTATGTTCATGTCAACGAGATCATAACGTGCATTATCATTATCCTTTGATTTTCTTCCTAAATGCAACAACGTTCCAATAATATTATCACAAACATTTTTTTCAATGTGCATCACATTAAGATTATGACGTAAAATATTATGTTGCCAATAAGGCAATGTGAACAAAATACTTTTCTGTTTCCATGGTGACCAACTCCCAATTCCACGATCTTCCATTTGTCTTAGAACAAAAGTTCCACTAGGTAGGTCAGGTGGAGCTCTAAATTCTTGGGTTCCATCAAAATCTCTTTTATTATATCTCCATTTATGATTAGGCTCTAACCAACGACAATGACACATATAACAAAAGTTTTTAATGTTATACAACCACTTAGAGGTAGTTTCCAAACCACAACACAGACAAGCATATTGACCCTTAATACTCCAACAAGACAGGTTTGCATATGCAGGAAAATCATTAATAGTCCACATGACTGCAACATGCATTTGGAATGACTCTTTTTTACATGCATCAAAAGTTTTCACCCCAACTTCTCATAATTCTTTTAATTCTTCTACAAGAGGCTGCATATAAACATCCAGGTTATAACCTGGACCTTTTGGACCTGGAATAATCAATGAAAGTATAAAATTTGGTTGCTTCATCCACATCCATGGGGGAAGATTATATGGAATCAATATAATAGGCCAAGTACTATGGGGAATCTTCATAGTTTTGAAAGGATTAAATCCATCAGAAGCCAAACCCAATCGAATGTTACGAGGGTCACAAGAAAAATCAAGATATTGGTGATCAAAATCCTTCCAAGAAAATGAATCAGCTGGATGTCTTAGAAGTCCATCTTTAGTTCGACCATCCTCGTGCCATGTCATAAAAGAAGCTATTTTTGATGATAGAAAAAGTCTTTGGAGTCTTGGTATAAGAGGAAACCAACGAAGAATCTTTGCTTGTATCTTTTTTCTACATTCAACATCATCAAAGTTGTGTTTCCATCTTGATAACTTACATTTTGGGCAATTTTCAACATTAGCCAAATCCCTCCTATAGAATATACAATCATTAGGACAAGCATGAATTTTTTCATATGATAGACCCAACCCGGAAATAATCTTCTTTGTATCATAAAATGATTTGGGTAAAGTATTTTCTTTTGGTAAGGCATCACTTAATAACTCTAACAACATTGTAAAACTTTTGTCAGTCCACCCATTTAGGCACTTTAAGTGATACAAGTGAACAATGAATGACAATGTTGTGAATTTTTTACAACCAAGATAAAGTTTTTGCTCTGCCTCCTTTAATAACTGATAAAGCTTATCTGAATTATTACCTTCTGCAGATTGTTGAATATTGGGTTCATTCATGAACGCTCTAGAATCTCCATTCTCCATGTTTACATTTGTATCATCACTTTCATTAATTGCATGCATCTCGAATGCATCGTGAATCAACATATCCATATCATGATCAAACTCCCCTTCTAATTGAGATGTTTCTAGAGAACTAGAAGAACCAACTTGCTCACCATGAAAGATCCAAGTAACATATCCTTTTAGAAATCCATTACATATTATGTGCTCATAAACATCCATTCGAGAGCGCCACTTGCAATTGACACATTTAGTACAAGGACATAAAATTTTTCCATCCTTGGAAGATTTAGCAAAGGAAAAATCAAGAAAATTTAGAATCCCTCTAATGTACTTCTCTTTATTTAGAGAGTTGTCATGTATCCAACTCTTATCCATTTGATACAATAAACTGGAAAAAAATTGAGTGAAATGGCCTCAATAAACTAGTGATAGAATGACATAAAAAACTCATATATACTATTTTCTCTTGAATTTTTAACAAGCTAAAAAATAATAATAGAATAAAAGTGATATAGATTCGTATATACCTAGTGATCAAGCTGCAATGTAGATTAAGTTGAAAAACTCATATATACCTAGTGATCAAGCTGCAATGTAGATTAATCTTTAAAAGTGAGCCCGGAAGATCTTATTGGCAGAAATAATACTATAAAATTAAAAAGTAATTAATTAATCTTTTTTATTTCAAGTGGATCAATTATAAAAGAATTGCAAAACTGATATAGATTTGTATTGTACATTCTCTTTTGAGGGATTGGAGTCTCTAGTCATTGTATCATTGTATTGCCCTTGGGAAAGGAACTCGAAGAGGCTCTCCGCAATAAAGTGCCACAGGCTGTTTTGGGACAGGTAACTTGCACTGCACTCTTCTTTTAATTTATGATTACATTATCATAAAATTAACCCTTCACTCCAATTTTGGAAACATAATTACTCTTTTCATTTTTTAAAAATCAATTATTTATAGTAGTAGAGATTGTGTGCTTCTAAGTCTCCGTGCAGCATGCATGCAACCAAATCTTAACCTTTAATTCATCGTTGCACATAAATCAAGATTATATATAATACACGGTCCAGATTTTTACTATTGAGAAATTAATGCTGCAGAGAATCTGATTAAGATTTGTGGGGACTGGGGATGCCATGATTTTAAATTTATGTACGAAACACTCTTAAAAAAATTGAGATGTAGATAAAGGAGAAAATTGATTAAGAGAGGAAAATAAAAAGAAAAACTAATAAATATAATAACTGGTACCACGAGAAAGAAAAGAATTACGCTGCGTGAATTGAGCCCGTCAATGACTGCATCAGAGCTTGATGTTTGGACACAAACTAGAAGGTTTTATTGAAATAATTATAGAATTAAACCAGGTTTTATCAGGGCTTGATGTTTGATAACATCATTAAGCTGGAATTTCCGACATTTTTCATTTTTAATCTCAAGTTTAAGCTTCTGTCTACAAATTAAATCCACATTTATTAAAAATAAAACTATAATGGAATATGAAGACATGTCATTACATGACAGATTCAAGTATACCAGATCAAATATACAAGAACATGCAAATTAACTTGTCAAAAAAAGAGCAGATATATTACACACCTATTTTTTCCTCTGC